TGAAAACCAATAGTGTTTTCCTTGTTATTATCACAACTACGTATACTGGATTATATTTCCTTTTTATGCTGTCTGATTTTTAATTAAAATACTTTATACTACTTAAAGAATTACAATATAATTTCTGTTTGTGTAGTACTTTAGAATCTACATTTCATTTGCTTTTTAGATGGCATACTTTTCTGGTTCTGAATTTGGAAACATCATTAGTACATCTGAAGTCCTCTTGTATCATATATTGAAGTGAGGCTTTCTGCCTTATGATAAAGTGTTTGATCCCATGAAACAATGACCACACAGGTCTCCGCTCTTTATGAGATTTTAGCAACAGGTGATTGAGATAGTGCTAGCCAAACTTTTAGATTTCAAAACTCTGCTTTTTTTAAAAAAAAACCTTTGTCTACCAATATAGAGATATACTAACTTTTTATTTTTGCCAAGCTAGGATATAAGAAGTGAGCTGTTTGCTCTTACTGGCAAATTAAATAATATTTAACACAAAAACACAAGAATGACACAATTCCTAATTAAACAATTTGAAAATTGAATGAATTTCCTAAAAAAGCCTCATTACTTTCCAAATTTTTCTCATTTGGTACAAAGTGATGAAAACCGTCTGGAAGGAGGTTATCCAGGATCCACCTTGTTTGGTGGGTGTGTATTTGATTTTGACTGCTTTTTGTTTGTTTGTTTTGGTACTGGGGATCAAAATCGGGAGCTTCCACTTGTGAGGCAGGTGGCAGAACCATTGAGCTAAATCCCTGTTCCCAAAAATTTTCCCCCTTAGGTTTTCTTTTTCTTTCTTTCTTTTTATTATTCTTTTTTTTTTTTAGTACTTGGGACCTTGTGCTTGCAAGGCAGCAGGCAGCACCACTGAGCTAAATCCCTAGCTATGGGATTTTAATAGATGTAGGATGTATTAATTATTCCACTTATTCTGTGGATATTTAAGTTGATTCATTAGGATCTGGTATGGAAGAGGCTTAGGACAAGGGCAGGCAGCTTGTTTGGGTTGGTTCACCCTATTTTGTGACCCCAAAGCATAAATAGACCTGTATAGTCCTAATTATATACCCCTAGTGCAGGGCAGCTGAGCCATCTCATGAATGTGTGGTGTCAGACATGAATCTTAATAGATACATAGATCTCTGTCACCTTTGTATGTGTAGCCCTTGAGTGAGTTACACATTAGTTCTCTGTTAATTCCTTTTCCATAAAGGATGTGCCTGTGCTTATTTTATCACCATTTTATAACATGAGTTATTAACTGGTAAAATGTAAGAATTCAACCAATGCATGATGACAGTGCTTTTATAGTCTTCCCTAAACTAAGTCTAAAACAAAATATGACTACTGACTCTGTTTATCCCATTAAATATAAATGATTAATGAGCAATCAGATTCTTTTAACTTGCAAACTGGGATGTTACCATTGCTAAATGTTAGTATATTCCCTTTCCATCTTCCATTGAATTTAGTTCTTAGAATGTTAAAGTTTTTAATATGCTATTTTGTGAAGTTCCCCCAAATAAGAACAAAATTTCTTTCTTTCTTTAGGGGGAGGTAAGAAATATCAACGAGTATGCCTATAGCCAAGCACAAACAATTGTAATGATGGTAACCTAAAGTACATTGAGCTTTCCTGGGACCATGTGATTTAAAATATTAATCAGGTAACCTTCACAACATCCCTGAGAGGTAGTTAGACATTGTCTTCCCACATTTTTACACAGGAGAAACACAAGACAGAACAAGGTTAAGAAGGGAGTAGCACAGGTTTTTAACTAAGCACATCAATTGCAAAGTGAGAAGAGGAAGTCCACGCTCTTAAAACCAAACAGTCTATTCTAGATGTCATATGTCATCTCTGAGTGTGTGTGTTCTCAACTTTTGGGATTTTTACAGTAGACTCTTTTGGTTTATGAAGACCTGAACATTTGGAATGAATCAGACGTGACTTTCTGATTTAAAGCATAAAGTAGTGTGTCCCCTGAGATTCTGGCAAATGAGGAAATGAAAGTAGAGGTGGCATTTGAGTCCCACAATAAAGGCTGGTCCCCTAGATGAGAAAGGGGGCTGTGGGCTGCAACATCACCAAACTCAATCTGTTCAACAGAAATAATGGTTTGGATTGAGCTTGTCTACACAGCCATCCCATTTTATTGGTGACCAGTAACGTATACTGCAGAAAAGGTTTGGTTGTAGCTTATGGTGCTGGAGAAGGTGGTTAAGTATTTCCCTATACTGATCTAGCCCTGGGTCACTTAGCTCTTTTGCACTTCAGCTGTACCATTGGTAAAAAAGAGGTGATGGTGTTAACCACCAGGCCCTTCCCATTATCTGTGCTTTGTTTTCCAAATGCCCTTAATAGGAATCAACCTTTACAATCACATGTTCTTTTGGAGAGCCAAGTACAAGCATATTTTTTAGCTTTTCATTCTTACATCTCAACATTTCATCTTTGCCCACATTCCATCTAACCTTTAGAAGACTTCATGCCTATCTTTATGTTCTCGTCAGACAATTTTTAGAGACTTAGGGAGCTCTCTACCCACGTGCTACCAGGATGGTGCCTTATGATGACTCACTTGAAGATCTGATCTTCATTTTAGTTAAAATCTAATAACTGGTGTGAAAAGGGGGGCACAGGATCGCTGTGCATGGTATGTTTTCCATAATCTATATTTTGAATACATGTATTAACTTACAACATGAATATATGGACATTTTAAATAACATTGGGCTATAAAAACTGGCACTGAAAATCATGACCCCAATCAAGAGGGGCCCTCATCAAAGGGAGATGGGAGTCGACCTAAGCGTGCTTGCGTTTTGTTCAGTCCTGTTATACATGGTCATTGTTAAAAAGCAGCAGAAGCACCAATCAGGCATCCCTTTATCTCCCAAACAAACATTCTCCATAGCTGGGAGTTTACTGGACATAAAAGGCAGCTTTCTTTCACGCTGGAGCTTTCCAAACAAGTGATGACTCCCGAAAGTTAAGACTGAAGAAAAAAAATAACATGAACAAGTTTGCAATAGATGGAAAAAACACCAATATTATATGTATTTCAAGAATGTAAAAAACACAGGTGAGAAATGAATCCTCCTTGATAAGAAAGAAATGCTTAGTAGGGTGGAAAAGAAAGAAAACATTCAGCAGTTTTTGGAATTGTGCAAGTCCAGAGAGTTTCTTTCCTCTTTTTTTTTTCTTTTTTTTTCCTGGTTAGCTGCTCATAGCCACAAGTATGTATATTATTTCCCTCTTGCCCACAATTTACTGAGAATCATCTTTCTAATATACTGGGGAATCCCAAATGAAAATCTCATTGTCCTGAAAACAGGCAATTTTGTTGATTAAATTATTCATATCTAGATTGTAAAGAAAATAATGAAATTGTTGTAACAGAAGGCTTGAATGTCCATCTCATATTTTCCCCTTACTCCATTTAGACTGTAAATGGCTTAGGTTCTTAGGGAGGGATTTTTTTTCCCTGGTTACTCCTGCTTGGAAATAGGATTCAGAAAACACCCATGAAGCCTCCAGTGATTAGGCTGCCCTTATCAGTGCGATGTAGTGGTAGCATCACAGGATATTTAACCCTTTCCTGAATATTATCATACATTCTTACATTGGAAATGATTACTAATGGCTTTGAATGTATTTCTTATCCAAGCACATCAGGGCAGTAAACAACCAACTTCATAATTGGTCAGGATAGTGTGAGATATCTATACGGACTTAAGCCCTGGATTCAAACTGCAGCTCTCTGCTTTTCTACCTGAGGACTTCAGTGGTTCCTTTTTCTCATTTGCAAAATATCAAGTGTAGCAGTGTGTTCTTCCTAGCGTTGTTGTTTGCTTTAAATGAGTTAATGTGAGTCAAGTGCTTAGGATGATGCCTGGTACATAAGAAGTGCTGTGTGGGTGGGAGCTGCATAATGAGGAAACAAACCAAACTGTGCATCCTAGGAATAGTTTCAGTTACCATTTAAATATGTTTCTGTTTATAGAGTCAGTGTCTGTTGTCTGTGTATTCACTGAAAACAAATCAGGTCTGAAACAGAAGGTGCTAGGAAGTGATTTATTTTGCCCGTTCCTCCTTCCTTCTTACTTTCTGCCTTTTATCTCCTATACTAGATCTAGATGTAATACCTTTACCTATACAGAATTTCTCCTGGGCAGAATCTGACCCTCTCACATTTACTTGCATATGAGAGAAAGGAAAATACTGTGATTTTAAATAAGGCTTCTCCCACTAAGACAAGAGGACATATGCAGACAATAAGGAAAGAGAGTTTGGAATGTTAACAAGTGAGTGATAAGTTCAGTAGGTGCTGACTTTGAATTTACTTTCAATTAACTTGAAAGCACATTTTCTGTCAGATAAACCATGACATGAATATTCAAGATTTAGCATGTTTTATTTTCTTATATTCACTTCATTATTATTTAGTAATCTTAGCGAATAAAAGCTAGTTGAGGGCTGGGGATTTAGCTCAGCGATTCGGTGGCCTGCCTCGCAAGCGCAAGGACCCGAGTTCGATCACCGGTACCAAAAAAAAAAAAAAAAAAAAAAAAAAAGAAAGAAAAGCTAGTGATGTCCTTTTTGAGGTAGTAGGAAGATTAGCATTTTATATTTGAGGAGAGAAAGATTGGTAGAGACATAGTCACCCTTGTAACTTATTTTGGTTTTATTTTCTACTTCGTAAAACTAATACTAAAGTTTACCACTTAAAATTTACTAAAAATTTTGTCATGACAGTCAAATATAAAATACCTTTCTTAGTGCTAGCCACTTTCTTTTTCTTAAGATTATAGTCATGTTTGACTTTTCAATACTAAAATTAAAAAATTCCCTCTCCATCAATATTGAAACTTCATGATATCATAAGCCTGGTTTCATGTTCATTATTGTAGTAAGCAATATAAATCTTTCAATGCCAGTAATTTACTTAACTTGACGATTCATAGATTTTTTTTTACTGTTATTTGCTGTTCATTGGTTTATTATTGTTATTTTAAATATTTTATATGGTCTCTTGGACCACATTTGCTTCAGAAAGCCCCCCAAAACAGTACCACTAGTCGTGTTCAAGTACCTGAAAAATAAAGAAGTTTGAGTTAAATTTGGGTAATGGAAAGATGAATATAAAAAATAATACTTTTGAAATTTATAAATTGGTTATCCATAGAAAATTCCTACTAGGACTGTAGCAGTTTTGACTAGTATATGTCCTTGTGTATAAAAAGAAGATATACCACCACCATCATCAATATCATCGTATTAACTAGCATTCTGCCTACTGTAGATTCTGTGAAAAGCAAAGTGAGTTAACATTTTACTGGAGAAGCCAATAACCTTTAATGTTACATGATCATGCAAGACATTGCAGATAATATTATTTGTGATGTTCAGTGATACATAATGTAGTTTTCATTGCTTCATTAGCTTCATTCATTTTTCATTAATAGTAAAAATTCATTATCTTCCCCACATTTACAAATGATAGAATATTTCGATTTTTTTTTTTTTTTTTACAATAGTGACAGCACACTGCCACCAAATTCAGATGCACAAATTCTCAGTTTGGTGTATAATTCAGCATGCCTTTATCAAGTGCCTCCTTGTTGAGGGAGAGTAAAATATACTAGCAGTAATATGTTTTCTTAATTCAAATCTTGGCCCAGCTGCTTTCTTACCGTAAGATCTTGAGCTTCTGGTCTGTAACATACGTGACCTAGAGTTGTTGAAGAGGGAGATGTATGTGCAAGTGGATGGTGAGGCATTTGGTAGATGCTTCAATAGCATTGGCTTTTCTTTCATTCCTTCTTGGGGTCACTGCTGTGATCCATGCCCACAGAGTAGATGGGAGGGAGAGAGGCGTACTTGAAACCACTTTTTTCCTTAGTAAATCAAACATCCAGTATTGTGATGTCATAGGCTAGTCTCTTCACTTTGAGTGCCTTGGTTAGCTCTGTTAAATTTGGGGGTTGACTTTTAGTTCATGATTATTTCTAAGAATACTTTGAAGCCTGATCTGTGAATCTATGATATTGTGAAGTAATCGAGTTAAAGACTAGAATACTAACAACAGAGTGTTGTGTGTGCAGTACTGTCCACAATAATATATCATGAAGGAAGGATCAACTGAATTTAGTGACATATTAGATAAGATTAGGCATGATTATACATGAATTAGAAACTATTCTAGGGCAGTGTTCCCCAATATGCCCTCTACAAAACACTAGTTGCTGAGGATAGTCGTAACTGTTCACTGAAAAAGATTTCTGAAAACCTCTTTTGAAAGGCTGAGCAGGTTTTTTTTACCTGCAGGACTTCCTGAATCTTTAATTTGGATTGTATTATGATTCTGGAATAGGAATAGGAATATATTATGATTCTGAAATTGAGGAATGAAGTACTGTAATAGTATGAAGGATTTCTAAAATTTGTTTCATCATGGAATTAAAGTTTCTTGTACTCATGTAACATTCTGCAAGATCAGTATTACATAGGAAATAGTGTGCAAAATGTTGCCCCACTGTTTTAAACCAGAAATGTGATAGAACCTAGATGCCATTGGCTCAGCCCAATTAATATGCTGAACCCTAACCACGTAACAGTCCTGGGGAGACTAGAAATGAATAAGATTTCATCTTATATCTGGGCCTGCTGGCATAGACCCGTAATCCAAGCACCGAGGCTGAGGTAGGAAGGTCCCAAGTTTGAGCCTAGCTTGAGCAACTTAGCCTCTTAGCCACTGTCTCAAAACAAAAAATAAAAAAGGGCTGAGAATGTAGCTCAGTGTGAAGGCCTTTGTTTCAATCTCTAGTACTGAAAAAAAATCCCATCTTTGCAGCAAATCTGGCAATATCCTTTCAAGTACGCATTGTCTACATGGCTAATAGCTAGGATAACTTGGGGGAGATGGTATCCCACTGGATTATTGATGTGGACTCAGGGAAGGCAGTATCCTGAGGGCACAATTTTAGTTTCTGTCTTAGATGTGTTTATCCTCTGTCCTCTGTTAAAGCTCTTGTAATTATCACCCTGTTCACCTCAGAGAGATTCTGTGGATGAAATGAATGTACACTACTCAACCTCAAGTGGTTGGAGTTAAACCAGTTAAAAGTCTCTTTGGAGTACATAGTCATCCAACCACTACTTTTGTACTTGCCATAAAGTCAAAATATAAGGAGAGGAGCCTGAAAAAATAAATGAGAGGCACAGGCAATCTCTTCCTTTATGAGGGAGGGATTTGGTGTCTTAGTGTTGGTTCGAACTGATGGGCATAATGTCTGTTTTTAGCTTTTCATTGACAAAATATCAGCAAGAAGCCTGATGGCAGATTTTACTATCTGCAGACTATTTCACCACTGGGTTTTTCTGCCTGTTAGGCCTTTGGAAACATTTTGGCAGGTTGAGCAGTTATTTTGCTCATGTTTTGAGTAGCATTTCTCTGACCTTTTGTTATTTACTGAACTAGTCCAGCCTGTTTTCTTTTAAGAGAAGCGAGAAATGAAGGGGAGTTGGTCAGCACATGCTGACAGTGGTATCGGAAGACTCAGTTTTGAGCGGCTGGGCTCCATGTATTCCTCCAAAGCAAATGGGTCATTGGCCTCATTGTTTCTTATTTGTCTGAATTGTAGGGAGTTCTTGGGGATTTGTTTTTCTTTCCTTGATAAAGCAGATGCATCTGGGGATAGTAATTTAGTTAAAGCATTTTATCGCATTTCAAAGCACAGCCCTCTTTGAGTTGTATGACATCTTTGGCATCGTGGATTATCTGAAGCCTCATCTCTCTGAGCAGTTACATGACTTGTTTCAGGGGAGGATAGCTCAGTACTGGACAGCTTTGTGACTTGATGACAGGTCAGTTCTCGCTGGGTAGCTGTCACTCCTGAGCCTTTACAGCCTAGTAAGTTCAGACAGCAGAGATGATGACACCACCCAAGATATCTTGTGAGTCTGATAGCTTGGTTTGGATACCATGGAATCTGCTTGATTGACATACAAATGGAGTTCTTTCATCTGATTTATATGAAAGTAATCTGCAAGTCCAGAACACAACAAAAACCCCACAGGTTTGAATTAGTAACCCATATCAGTAGATACCTGGTTGGTTGAAGAGGTTAATGCCAGTCATGTGGCCTCAGTAGTTTAGTTTCTTTCTCATGCCACATACCTGAGGACTTCAAAATCCCTACATGATATTCCTCTTCTTGAAGATGGCTGAGAAATAAACACAGATTGCGTCACTTAAGTTTTTCAAGGGAAAAATTGCTGAAAATGAAGTATAAATTTATTGGCATCCCTCTGTGAAGACTGTGAGATATAAAGGATATAAAGGGTTAACAGGTTACCAAAAGAGAGGGGGAAATTCTTATAGAAAACAGAACAAATGATGAAAAAATAGAAACCTGTAGAACGTGCAGTTAGCAATGAGAACTTAAGGTGCAGGCTGAAATGGAAACACACTATAAACAGATTGAGGGAGAGACAACAGCTTTAAGGGAAAACATCTGTCTGCTGGATCTGACATCCAAAAGCTGCATCTGTGGCCTAGGCTCAATCTTGCATTGCTTAAAAAAGGAATGTGAAGGGGCCCAAAGCAGGCTCTGGAAGTTTCTTTTTTCCTCGAGATTTTCTGTTCAGAATGCTGCCAGGAACTTATGAACTAATATGGTCTTTTTTTTTTTTTTTAATGCTGAAGTAGTGTTCCTTCAAAGTTGGAATTGTGGATTCAAAAGACATTTCACCTGTACTGTTCTAGACACACAAATCAGAGGACTCATTTACTTTGCCAAATTAAACCCTTGAAATTCCCCAGATGGACTCTTTAAATATTTTGTATTTCACAAAGAAGTTTTCAGTAGTAAAGAAGTTGGAAGCCAGAAAAGCAGGTAGGTATGTTCTAATGGTGCCTTAGAGGCAATTAAGAGCATCTATCTGAATACTACATTTTGTTTGTCATAACAATCCCTTGACAATTAGTTTTTCTCTTTGTGCAGTTTGTTTGTATTGTATAGAAACAGCCTAAGCGGGTAATTTAAAGGTAATAGAGTGCATATGTTCCCTATATGTGTGTTAGGTCTCAGTTTGTCTGAGGAGAAGCAAAAGAGAATGATGAGCAGGTTTCCCCTTCTCCTTAGAGAGTACCCTTGCCCCTTACAGTCTTTACAATGGGATGCAAATAAATTTGTTTCATTTTCAGGGAAAAACTTGCGACCTAATTCATATTACCTGACAATAATCATAAATGAAGTGTAAGAATGCATCCTGGATTGTTATGAGTAACTTATTTGGAAATGTCACAGTATACCATAACCTTCTATCTCCCTCTCATTGACCTCCCCCAGGATCCCTCTTTAACACTCTTGTCTTTGTCATGATACATCTAACCCCAAATAGAGATTGCAGTAAGAGTTGCACATGCCATGGCCACATATGTTTGAAGTAACTTGAAGTTTTTATCTAATATGAATTTTATCTAGTATAAATTAAGTTTGTGGGAATGGTAGTGGCTGAATAATGGTGAGAAATGGCTCCATTTTGTGGCAAGGAGAATGGGATGTTTTAATGAGGACTCACTGGTGATAAAGGATTTTGGGAAGACTATAAGAATAGGAAGTTCAATAAACAGAGAAGAGGAGCTACTTCTGTTGGCTACTGGAGTGTTCCTTACTCCAGTATGTGATGACCCCAAGGAGATGCTCATCTGGTCATTGTGCCCAAGATCTGTGCGCAGAACCTTTCCCACTGTCCTTTGCAAGCACATGAGAGCCTCTCAGAATTTAAATTGGGCCATATATCATGTCTCCAGCTTTCTTTTCAGTAAAGTGTATATCCTAGCTCTGTGGTAGCAATTAGGACATCATGTTTCATTAAAGTTCAGTCATTGGCCTCAAGTCCACATCGCTTGAATGTTACAGGTGTGAACTCGGGGCTTTGGCTCCCTCATTCTTCCATTTCCATTTTGTTAAGCCACACAATCCTCCATTTTTTAACCTTCTCTGTTGTCAAGGAGAAGCGTTGGAAAATAAAAAGCATCAAATTTTATTCTGTCTTAGAAGAAATCTCTCAAACTGTTTTATCACCGTATGAGCATGGCTGATGAAGTTTGAAGATTCCTTACTTGAGAATAGTCCATCTCAAATGTCATCTGCACCACTCTCCAGTATGTTCTTTGCCATATAATTCCTTGTACCTTGAAAGGGTCTAGCTGTGTTTTTCTAAACCAAGCAGCTGTCCTTAGGATTTTGCATCCTTAGTGCCTACCACAATTCTAATACAACTCCTTTTTAAAAAATTATGTTTTACACATAAGTGACCTGAGCTAGGTGTAGTGGCTCATGCCTGTAATCCCGGTACTTGAGAGGCTGAGGCAGAAGGACTGCAAGTACAGAAGTGAACTGCTAATGATGGACGAGGCCAGGATGGCAAGCTAGGACATCTTGTTTGCATCTGTCTCATTGTTATCCTTTACTTCTCTGTTTGCCAAGCTTTTGAGATTCTCTTGTATAACTTTATGGCTGACTGTTTTCCAGAGGGTCACCAAGCATAGAAGCATTTTCTGCATTAATGACCTGGGGAAGGGTGTGAACAGGAAAATCAGAGACCAGATAATTTGATAGAAAGGAGGATGGATGAACTTTCACTCCCTTCTCCAGAGAATGTCAAATTCAGCATGACCTCACCCAGACCTAGTAACTTAGAGATCCCATGGTATCGGGTTATCCCATGATGATGATGTGAAGGGCAAAACTACTACCCTTATTTCTTGGGATAAAAATTGATCCTTAGTCATACAATATACAAATTAAGCTGCCATGAAGTATGCTTGGTAGAGCAGCAAAATTCTATTTTCCTTTTTTTTTTATTTGCTTGATTTTATTTTTTAGTGAATTCACTTCTATGGAGTTCTAAAATTTTTCTTTACCATTTATATTTTCTGTACTTTATCTCACTATTGAAAAATACAGATGGCATATGAAAATTTAATATGCTAGGATTATGCCAAGGTAAACACCATGGACCAGGGTCAGAAAACTATGTCCTGTGGGACAATTTTTGCTCACCACTTGCTTTTGTAAATAAAGTTTTATTGGAACACAGCCATGAGTGTATGTATTGTCTATGTTTACTTTTTTACTACAACAGCAGAGTTGAGACTACATGGCTTTAAAGTATCTACTATCTGGTCCTTACTAAAAATTTTTTCCAACTTTTGCTATAGACATTTTCATGAAATTTAATCACTCATTCATTTACTCATTCTTTTAGTGGGTATCAGCTCTGTTAATGACAGGGAGAAATGTAAATATGAATCAATCAGTCTATAATGCAGAAGAATTTATAGTCTAACACAAATTAACAGCCATCTGAAGAGACAGAGTGCAGTAGTACAGACAAGAAATACAGATGGGATATACACAAAGGCCCTGCTTCTGTAACTGGCTCACAGTGATTTCCTTGTAGGAACTTCATGAGAAGTAAGAGTCATTTCCTTCATGGAATTTTATAAATTGTAGAATCAAAAGGGTGGAAATGATCCCGGATATTACTTTCCGTCCAAATGTCTTTATATGGATGCATGTTTTCCCTATAGCTAGGGGGATAATCATATTTATAGAAAATGTTTGAAGATTTGAAGGGAGGCTTCCTTCTCCAGGGTCCAAAGATAAAGAGAATTCCTTTTCTTTTTAAATAGTTATTCTTGCAGGAAAGTAATCATAAATGGGTCTCAAAGAAAGGATCTTGGAGCGAACCTCTCAAATATTAAGGGGGGTTTCCTCAATGAAAACCAGATAAAATATAGAACCTCAGCCATGAAATGCTGTGACTCAGTGACAGTCATATCTCTTCCTTCTCTATATTGCCACGTGTATAGGTGTGAACTGAGCTTTGGCTCAGTTCCCACTGGTGTGTTGAAGCATGCAAGGGTTTAGGCCCCTACCCCTAAGGGAATTCCATGCCTAAGGCCCACTCAAGCTTTCTGTGAGAAGTAATTCCTGCCTCTTCATTTATGACCTTGCTGAATTTTTCAGATATCTTTTGAATTAACCAGACTTGGATACAGACAGATAACATGCATTAAAAAATCTAGGTGGCTGATTTAATAAAGGATTCTAGAGTTTCAGATTAGTTAAGAGCGAGAGGAGTGAGATTCCTTCCATTTCTGCTTCTAGCAGGGTATCAAAATTGTTGACTAAATCCCAACCACTCATTCTTTTTATTCCTAGCAATAAAGGTAACAGAGCTAATAAAGTGTACTTTTGCCTTAGACTATGACCCTGTAAAGTTTCACCCACTGACAACAAATATTTTGACTGATAAAATCAAGGGTGTTTGTTGAGAAAGATCCTGAAAGAAAACAATACTGGATCCTCAGTGAGGTGAGGTGGGACACACCAAACCTAAATATTTCACATTTCTTTCTTCCCTCAGGTCAGAGAACCCCTGCACTCAGATATCTGACAGGGTCCACAAGGGCCCCAGGCATCTCTTGCTAAAGAGCACATGCCGGCTTGGCACCCGTGCTTCCCAGTATCACTCATCCTTTTGGTCCCCTCTCATTCCCTGAGCCAGAAAAGAAGAATCCACTGTGCTGTTTGGAGAACACTTTTCAGGGCATTGACTGGCAAGGAGGTATAGTTATTTTATGCACACATGAGGGCTGTGTTGTATTAACATTTTCTAAATAAGAAGAAACTCTGCTATCTCCTTCAAGCCCTACCATGTATTTATGAATGAGATTGCTTCGTTTTCGTTAACATCAGTAGCAGGGAAGTCAGAAAGCATTACTTCTAAAATGGGGGAAGAATATTCCAAATACACACATTTCCATCCAACTGCAACAGTAACCAGCAAACTGAATTACTTTACCCCGTCATCATGAGCCCCATCCATGTGGGATTTTTCCCGAGTTTCTGATTTATAACGATCATTCTTGAAGACCTAGAAATGCTTAGGTGAGATTAAATTACTGATTATCTTACAGTTCTGTTTTCACTGGAGCCTTTCTGGACGGCTGCTGATTTGGTCCCATTTAAAGCGCTCAGTGGCGTGAACTCACTTGGTTTCTGCCCACATCACTGCATTCCTGGGATGCCGTTCACAGGCCTTAGCAAGATCATCTGACAGCCGCCTGTGAGGTCAATGAACTTTATACATAATTAAACACTCAACGGTTAGGAAAATTCAT